TCAATAAAATTAAAAAATTCTAATCCACTAGTGGTTTGGTACAAAAAGCTACATAAACAGATAAACTAGTTTTTTCAGTCCGCTAGCGATTTGGACCCTAACGCTATCTGCTAGTTTCAAACCGCTAAATAAAAATTTTACCAAACACTTTAATTGTAGTGGTTTCGAAATATATAAATTTACAAAACACCTATATTTAGCGGTTTAAGTAAAACCATTAATCACTACCTCAAAACCGTTATACCAAACATGACCTAAAATTAATTCGAGAAAAGAAATCATGAATTCAATATATATCTTTTTCTTTTTTCTTTTTTTTTTGAAAATAGGCAATGATGAATTCAATATATTTATTATCTCACATTTGTAGATTTTTTTTTATGACGAGCAATGATTAATATATCTTTCATTTAATATATTTATTAAAAAAATATTATTTTTAAATTTGAATTAAAAATAAAAAAATTTATTTACAAAATTTAATACTTAAATCGATTGATATTAGTACGTGTATTGAATCATAATGTGTACCAATTATTACTATGAACTATATCTAATTTTGTTACCTTAATTACGTCGATTTTTTGGTAGATTAATTACCTTAATTACATTGATTTCCTTATACAGGCATTACGTAGTAGTGTTAAATATCCCCCTTTTTTTCTTTATATATAGCTTGAAACTGAGGCGGGTTGTATTGGTGTATCAAGGTGAAATGGAGGTGGCGGTTGTGCTGTTGTTTTGGTTTGTTTTTCTGGTGGCGGCGCCCGGCAACTCTCACGGAAGCGTCGTGACGTACGACGGAAGATCTTTGATCATCGACGGCGAGCATAAGATGCTGTTCTCCGGCTCCATTCACTATCCTCGCAGCACGCCTGAGGTAAGAAAATGGTTTAATCATCTCATTCACATTTTCTAACGATTAGGTGCAACAAATATATTCAATTTAATATAATGCATGAATTCTGGATTAATTTGTGTGTTCCTTAATTTTTCCTTCTGTTTTATTTTTACATCATCATATTGTATGCAAAATTGAAGTTTCTATGTTGCTAGTCACCAATCTTTGACAACAAACTCGAAGTCTTAATGAAGGGACCATCAAAGCCTTTCTCTTTAGAGACCAAATTTAATTGGTCATATTGGGAGTTAATTATTTCATTTTGACATATATTAATTGTATGAATTTTAATATGAATTATTAGATAAACAAATAATTTTTAATATTACAAAACTTATTTTTCATCTAAGACTTTAAGTTTTTTAATTTAGATTGCACAAAATAATTTATGTTTTAATTGAACAAAAAAAAAAAATTCATTCCACCTTTGTGTGTCTACAATTTTTTAGCATTTTGTTTTCACTTTTTTTTTTTGATCTTTTTTTTTATTATGTACGTATTAGGACACAAAGAGAGATAAACCTCTCATATTTACCTACTCCATGTTTAAAGTTTTTGGTCGACTTCTTTTTTCTTTGCCGAACTGCTCCAACTCATACCACTTGAACGGTTGAACTTGCTCTTCATTATAGATAAATTTTACGCCATATATCATTTATTTTAAAATATATTTTAGCATTCATTCTATAATTCTTTATTTGAGAATTATATATACATCAAAAAATTGTTTTATAATTTAAATTATTTCAAACTATTTCAAATTCTAAAATATTAATTCTTAGATCAAGGGTGAACTTTTTAATATTAAGAATTTATTTTAATTAAAGTTTTTATTTTACAATCTAAAACAATATAAATTATAAAACAATCTAAATTATAAAACGAGAGACTCATCATACATACCATAAATTAATATAATTCCACTTGTTTAATGTTACATAACATTGTTATTGTATGAAGTATATTTTGTCTCCTACAATAAAATACGGTAATTAAAAAGAATTCTGGCGGGAAAACTAAAATGCTGTGTGTTTCTTTATCTTCTTTGGTTTTTCCGTAACGAAAAATTCTTGTATTTCTTCTCCTTTTCTTTGACGTAAGACAAATTACCTAATGGATCACTTGTTATGGCTTTGCTTTAACAAAATCTGTTTCTTTCTTTCATCTGATTACGAAAGAAAATGAAAAATGATGAAAAGACCTAAAATTTCAGATGCCAAAAATAGAAACTGGAAACATTGATCTGAGGGATCTCGATTTAAATTAGGACCACAATTGATGAAAAGCATGGAATTTTCATCTTCCTATTTAGTGTCTCTTAAACGATATTTTGAAACAAACATTTTATCTTAGGATAATTATATATACATCCAAACAATCAACACCCATCTCAACACCCAAGGCTAAAATGAGAATGGGTAAATTTGTAAATTTGTTCATAAACCTTGGGTGTTAAAATGAGTAGTGATTGTTTGGGTGTATGTATAATTGTCCTTTATCTTATTCCCATTCATTTTTCATAAAATTTGTATGTACCATTACAACTTTACGTTGCTAAATATGGGTTTGAGAATAAAGATGAAATATTGCAGATGTGGCCGTCGCTAATAGACAAAGCCAAGGAAGGAGGAATAGACGTGATAGATACCTATGTGTTTTGGAACCTCCATGAGCCCCAAGAAGGAAAGGTGTGGTCAAATTGAATTACTTCTTATTCTTATTATTTTTATTTTTCCTTTCCATTTTGCTTACTCATTATTATTATTATTATTATTATTTTGGTTACATAATGAGAGACAACCATCTCTCATCTCTTATCCAACTTTATCTGCATGTCATACAATTCGAATTTAAAACCTCTTATTTTCGACAGAAAAAGATGATTATTGAGTTATTTGGTTGTTAATGCTTACTCATTATTTAATTTAATTAGTTTATAATTAATGGATGCAGTATGATTTTAGCGAGGGACGTGACATAATAGGTTTCCTTAAGCAAGTACAAGCAAAAGGCCTCTATGTGATCCTCAGAATTGGACCCTTCATTGAGAGCGAATGGACTTACGGGTACATACATATCCTCTCCTAACATTTTACTTTTAGTAAATCAAAATAATACTCTTAGCTATCACATAAATTTAAACCTTTTTCCTTGACTTCATATTAATATATACAAGCTTGATTGATTTTGGTGGTGCAGTGGTCTACCCTTTTGGTTGCATGATATCCCTAATATCATCTTTAGATCTGACAATGAACCGTTCAAGGTACTTGCTTGGCTTTGGTGTCACTTGTAACCACATTACTTACCTCACAATGATTTCAGTCTTTTGTTTTTAGAGCCTTAATTAGCATGGAAAACTCATCTTTGATATTGTTTATGGCAGCTTCACATGGAAAAGTGGGTAACGTACGTAGTAAATATGATGAAAGCACATAAACTATACGCTTCACAAGGAGGGCCAATCATACTCTCACAGGTTCAATTCCATAACAGGACATTATGGGTTTTTTTTTTTTTTTTGTTGTCTACATCCAACATTTTCATCCTCTCAAGAACTTGAAATTTGTTTCAGATAGAGAACGAGTATCAAAGAATAGAGTCTGCTTTCCCTAATAATTCTGGGCCACGCTACGTCAAGTGGGCTGCCGCTATGGCAGTCGGACTTCAGACTGGCGTTCCCTGGGTGATGTGCAGCCAACAAGATGCCCCTGACCCAGTGGTTCGTTCTTAATCCCCCCTGAATATAAGCTTAAGAGACTAGATTGTTTCTTTTACTCAGCACCATGTTCCACGTTATTGACAGATCAATGCATGCAATGGATATGAATGTGGGAGGAGATTTCAAGGACCCAACTCGCCTAACAAGCCATCCATGTGGACAGAGAACTGGACAAGCTAGTATGTTTCTATGCTTCATTTTACTAGAAGATTCACGAGAAATTACTTTTATCATAACCTCCATTAGGTGTTTTGATTCAACTAATGATTTTTATTTTCCTTCCTAAGTTTACAAAGATACGGTGAAGAGCCATTCATGAAATCGGCTACAGACATTGCATATAATGTAGCCTTATTTATTGCAGCAAAGAATGGAAGCTTTGTAAACTATTACATGGTGGGTGATGATGAATTATAAATGTTCATCTCCGAAATACATATATAGTTTCTGCTCTAACAACATACCTATGCTTACAGTATCATGGAGGAACCAATTTTGGAAGATCTAGCGCAGCATGGATAATAACAAGTTACTATGATGAAGCTCCTCTTGATGAATATGGTATGTGTATATATATATATATATCTAGGCAAAATTTGTATTTGTTGCATAATCTTATACCCCAAACCAGATTGATCTAGTTTAGTTTTCGGGTTTTAGGTTTTATCAAGCAACCAAAGTGGGGTCACCTTAAGGAATTGCATGCTGCTATAAAGTCGTGCTCAAAGCCTCTACTTGAAGGAGTACATAGTACGTCTCCTTTGGGTAGAAAACAAGAAGTAAGAACAGTTTATGATGAATAATATCTCTGAAGGGAAAAAAAAAAAAAAAAACCTGTAAACTTAATCTTGGTGGAGAAACCATGTTTAGTAAAATTATGTGCTGGTTTGATTGTTTCAGGCTCATGTCTTCCAAATGAATTCAGGAGAATGTGCTGCATTTCTAGTAAATAGGGACAATACCTCAGATGCCAAAGTCATCTTCCACAATTTTCCATATGATCTGCCTGCACAGTCTATAAGCATTCTTCCAGACTGCAAGAAAGTCATCTTCAATACAGCAAAGGTAAGATTCATATTAACACTTCTCCACTTTTTGTCTATCGGTTTTCCCGCATTTAAGTAGAAGTAATGCATGCAGAAGGTATGAGTTTAAACTGATGGTCTTAAAACAGGTTAGCACAGCGCCTAATACAAGATCAATAACAACAGGCTTGAAGTTTGATTCAGTTACAGCATGGCAACAGTGGGAAGAAGTTATTCCAATATTTTCAAATACTTCACTCATTACTAAGAACTTGTTAGATCATATGAGCACTACAAAAGATTCAACTGATTACCTCTGGTACACTTTCAGGTAACCATGGTTTCAAGTAGAGGCATGATCCATGAGGCATGTGGTTGGATGAACTCATAATATATGAACTATGCTAAAAATACTCGTATCTGTTGGTAAATGCAGTTTTCAGCAAGACTCTAATGCTCAATCTGTACTCTCTGCGCAATCCGATGCCCATCTTTTGCATGCGTTTGTCAATGGAAAATATGTCGGTAAGCAGCATTTCTTTTATTTGTTTCAGATAATATATAAATTTTTTTCTTCTAGTAATTGCAAATGTTGGTTTTTACTTTGTTATTCTTCAGGATATGCATATGGAGGAGGTAGGGAGATTTACACCTTGCAAAGTACTGTTAATTTGAATAAAGGGACAAACAATGTTGCCTTGCTCAGTGTTATGGTTGGATTTCCGGTACTTCAAATCTCAATTCAGTCACTCTCCTGATGTTCTCTTTTCTAGTAACTCTAATGCATTGTTAATGAATAGCGACCTAAAGCATGAATTTCTGTTATGGCAACTTTGAAAGAATAAATGAAACGCAGATGCCATCACAGCACTTCATGCATGTTGAAATGATTAAAACACATATGAAGTTTTCAAAAAGAATACTTGGTTTCTCAGCTGAAGCTGTTGCTACGTGCTCCATTAATTAACATTAACATTCTTTTAGACACATACTTGGCATTTCACTTTTCTGCAAGAAATAGTCTTTTATTTCTTCATAAACTATATGCTTTCACAATTCTAATTAAGTCTTATAAATTGTTACATAAAGGATTCAGGAGCATACCTTGAACGTAAGACTGCAGGACTACATGGTGTGAGGATTCAAGACAAAGATTTCACACACTCTTCATGGGGATATCAGGTCATTTACCTCTTGATACCTAGCAATAATCTAGTTAAAATGAGATTTGATAAAATGTTTACTGATTCTTTTAAGTTTTTATGAAGATTGGGTTACTTGGAGAAAAGTTACAAGTTTTCACAGATCAGGGATCAAAAAGCGTTCAATGGAGAAAGATATCCCCTGGGCATTCTCGATTGACATGGTACAAGGTAAGGAAGTTTGTTTGTTTCACCAGTTCTGATTTAACTTGTTACTGGTCATGTTCAGGAAGTAAAAACAGACCGAAACCCAATCAAAATAAGCAAGAATGATATCATTCAATTTTGAGATAGAAAAATGATGCATGGATCAAACATAAACATATCTTATTTATATCTCATCAGTGTCTGTGTCTCCAAGCTAAGATGTCATAAATTGTAATCACTGACCTGTTTCTTGAATTCTGATTACTAGGTTCTATTTGATGCACCTTTAGGCAATGATCCAATTGCATTGAACCTCGGTTCCATGGGAAAGGGAGAAGCTTGGGTTAATGGACACAGCATAGGCCGATACTGGGTGTCAATCAAAACCCCTGCACAAAGACCTTCACAGAAATGGTATATGCTTTTACAATATAACTGGTGTCTGTTTTGTAATAATCATCATAAAACAAAACTGAGTTGGTTATAGAAAAGGTTTACTTACCTCATATGCATGCTGTTTCTGCTCAACCATTCTTTTTCAGGTACAATGTGCCTCGTTCCTTCCTCAAACCAACTGGTAACCTGCTAGTTCTGTTAGAAGAGGAATTTGGGGACCCCTTACAAATTACTTTGGACACTGTTTCAATCACAGGGCTTCATTGATTGATGCAGAATGCAGATGATAGTTAACATTTTAACTGCAATTTTAGAGAACAGACACAGAGGAAAAGAATCTAGTAGTAATCCTTTGATTCAAAAATGTAAGCATGCAGTAAAAAAAAAAAAACAAAAGATAAGAGCATCCCTCAATTTCTTTTGCCCAGGTGCAACTTTATATTTCTTTAATAAGAAATAAAATCAAGCCTTAACTCCAAACTCTTGTGAGAATTACCACTCACTCATCTTACTTTAAAGATTATAAAGGATATCATCCACCATTGACTATTTGTATACATGAATCTTGTTATGTGATTTTCTAAAGTTTTTAGCTAGGCCAGTAAAGAAAGGGTTACAGAAGTGATTCCAAAGGGACAGCCCAAAGTGCTAATTAACAGATAATTGGTAAGAACACTGTGCCATCAGCTTTTGTATCTGAAGGACAGGAAATATCGGGGGAGGGGTTGGAGAAGAAATAAACCTCATACAGTCATATTGTAAATGGTAATCAGAACATCTTTCGCTCATCATAATCAGAACACATTCGTTTGTATGCATAAGCTTTTTCCTCAAGTGAATCTGACGCAATAAGCTTTCTCCAACAGCTTTAGCTGGTTAAATTATTATACATATATCAAGAACATCATAAAGAATGTTTGCCCTGCACAACCTTAGTTGCAGGAGAGGGAAGAGGTGATGTAAAGAAAAAGCAAATATATTACTAAATAAATAAATTGTTCTTAAAAAATTAACAGTAGAATCAATATACTCACTTCCAAGTCCTAACAATCAGGTCTACTTTATGGTGAAAACATAATGAAAAGAGAAGAATGGTGCCAAAGAGGGGTATTTCAGAAATACAAGAAATTACAAGGATGATACCTGAAAGGCCAAATCTCAGTTTATAAAAGCTACCCATCGAGGTCATGCAGTTTACCTCCAATCAGACATGGTAAGGCAGATCTCAGCTCCTACCTTCCCATGGATTGCAATTTCCTAGAAGCCTTGAGTGTTTGATCATAAGATATATGTATGACTTGGACCTTGCTTGAGTGCATAAGAAGTTCAACTTCCAACATAAAGGTCCTCGAAAGATAACTTCAATATTTTCAACTCTAGAGTCAGTCGCTGCTGCAGGCATCAGAGTCTTTTCTCTTAGAAGATTTATTCTCTTCAACATTAGGAAAATGTGATGGTAGGAGGGCCTTTTGTGAAGGTAACTCCGAAATGAAAAGTAGAGTTTGAGCCCAGCCAGCATATTTTCCATATTTGCTCACAAATGCCTCTGCCACACGGCTGCAGAGCTTAGGAGTCAAACGGGCACCTGAAAGCTCTGGGAGGAGGTGTCTTGTAGCAATCTTGCATAACCAAACAGGAAGAATACTAGCCAGTCAGAACTTCCATGAACACTTGAAATGAAAAACTACTGCTAATTTCTTTGAAATATTACTTGCATGAGCACATGAAATGAAAAACCACTGCTAAAGTGCTAATTTCTTTGAAATATTACTTCCATCAGATACCAGTGCAGACATTTTAATTATGGGATTCAAGATGTGTTTTTTTTGTTACAGGAGTATCTTTGCTGCTCCATTTTTGTTTATTAGTTAAGAGGAGGGATCCATTCACACACAAGTCTTACACACCACATTTATACAATCTCAACTATTCATCTTTCCACTTTCAATGGTTGAGATTTGTCACAGCTTTTTAGGTGAAAAAGAAAACTATCTTTAATAAATGTGAATAAATCTCAACCACTAAAAGTGGAGAGATGAATGGTTGAGATTTTGTGTAATTGTGGTGTGTAAAAATTGTGTGTAAGTCTATCCCTACTCATTAGTTAATATCATATAAATGATTTTTGCTAATAAAAAGATGTTCTTAACTGCTTCTTGGCAATGTGACATTGCAAAATAAGATTTCTCTAATTCAACTTGTTTCTAATATATATTCATATAACACAATTTTACACCAGTTCATACCCTATATGCCATAGCATTACATTGCACTTCATCACAAAAGAACTAAAGAAATAGCCAAGTGTGCACATTACCCAGACATAAATCATTATTTTTTTATGCACCAATCTATTAACACTTGTTTAAGTTTTGTTCTTAAATTACACTGCTTATTGCTAAAGGATGATGATAAAAGAATGGTTTTGTCAAATGCCCAGAATCCCATTCAAAAAAGAGGAAGAAGTGCAGCCCTTTTAGCAATTCTTCTATATCTCAAGTCGACCTCTCCCAACTCCAAGTTAACAGAAACTAAAATTATACTGGCAGGCTTGAAAAACAACTTCTGAATTAGAACTGGTTGGCCCTTAATTTAAACATTTCCAAGCTCATCTCAATCTTTAACATTGCTCAAATGATTTAACACATAAAGACTATCTACAAAATTGAACGAACATCATGGTTTATTTTCCCCATCTGAAATAGGATCCTCATCAAACAACTGACCAAGTTTCATTTCTCTTCATAACAAGTTTCAAGGCCTATCAAACTCAACATCTTGGCAACAGATGCATTCCAATGTTTATGTTACTAGTACGTTACAGTCATTTACCATACCTGCCACACATGTGTATCCACAGGAATTGCATGGTGCTGATCAAGTGAGAAGAGAGCTATGCATGCTGCCACCTTGGGTCCAACTCCAGGTAAAGTACAGAGAGCATCAATTGCCTCTTGGAGATCCAACTTACGGAGAGATAGCAGCCATTTTGTACCTCCATCAGGTTTTGATCGCAACGCATTTACTGTTCCAGCGACATATTTGGCTCTGAGCATCCATGGCATGCAAGTTCCATTTCAAAGCATTTTTGTCAATATATAAATATAAATTATGCAACAGTACTATCAAATGTAAGATCTTATGGAAAAAGTTTTTTTTTTTTTTTTTTTTTAATGCTTTATCTTTAGCCAAGAACAAAAAACTACACAATGACAATTGAAATGAAGAAATGAACAAAAGTGAAAAGATTCACCTGTAGCCAAATCCAGCTTCCCTAAGCTCCAGCTCTGAGACCATTGATAACCGCTCCAAAGAAGGGAATTCATGAAACTCAAACCCACCAACACTTCCCAGATGAGTCCCCAAAGACGATACAAGATCGACCATTTTAGTAATCCTCCCAATGTTATTATTTGAAGAACACAAGAACTGAACCAGGCACTCAAGTGGGTCCTGCCTCAACACTCGGGCACCGGGCAAATACCGCGCCAACTCAGCAAAGCGCGAGTCTTTCGCCGAGAAAACCGTCCAGAGTTCGGTCAGAGAAATCCCCACGTTGAGGAAATCAAGGAGCGCGTCCCTTGCGGCGGACTCCGAAGGGGTTCGGTGGATACAGTACCACACGTCACCGTTCTCAAGGTGCTTGAGGGAAACCAAGTGCGCTCCAATGGAACCCGTATATTGGAGCGGACCAGTTTGCTTCCAGCGGAAAGTTTGGCCGGTGGGGAATGTGAGGGGAAGAGAAAGCTCCGATTGGGTGAGGTCCAGCGGTTGCCATTGTGGCCTTACTCTCTTCTTGATAGCCTTCGACTTTCTACTGGAAAGCACTGGTGGTGTTTTGGGATTGAGAGTGGTTTGAGGTGGCGGCTGCGGCGGCGATTTGGTGGAGGAGGAAAACACCGGTGCCGCAAGTCTCGGTCTCTTCATTGTTGGGATGAAAGAAAAACTTCCAACTTTCTTTCCTACCCTTTACGGTTTTACCCTTCTTTCTCTTTCTTCATTTTGGAATAACCTCTAAGTTAGTCCCTATATTTATTTTTTATTTTCAATTTAACCTTCAAACTTTTTTTAAATCAATTAAGCCACTGAATCCTAAGCCTAAAAAAAGCAAACAGCTATACTGATTACTGACAGTTGTTTCACCGAAGGGGGAGCGGAACGGAGGCCCGACGCCGTTGCTGGTGCAAGAAAGAGAACGAAGCCCTATTCTCCCTGACTGCCTTTCCCACCAATCACAGACCCCACAATTTTCTCCAACTTTCTCTCTTACCAAACACCAATGCCAGCTTCTCCTTCTCCTTCAGGTAAATCCCACAAAACCCACAAAGTTTCCCTCTTCTCGATTTCAAAATTTCCTCTTACCTCACCTCCCCTAACTCTCTGTTTCTGTTTTTTTGTTTCAATTCCTCTGATTCCAGATGGACGAGGAAGATGGAAGCGGAGGAAGCGAGAACGTAAACCGAAGCAGCTTCAAGAAGACAACGACGCACTTCAGGAGGAAGATGAGGAAGAGGAGAATATTAACGAAGACCTTGATAATTCCGTGGAGGAAGGTGGTGCAGTGCCGGATCTGTCCGCAGGGCCCAGCGAGAGCGAGGTCTTGTTGGATGGTGGGGTCCGTATCTCGGAATTCCCGGCTGTGGTCAAGCGGACGGTGAACAGACCCCACGCCTCGGTGATGGCAATCGTGGCAGCTGAGCGTGCCGGTTTGGAGGGGGACAGCAAGGGGCAACAGGTTGGGGTGGCGGTTTTGGAGAATGTTTCTCACGGGCAGCTGCAGGCGTTGTCCGCGGAACCCCCCGCACATGCTCAGGATAAGTTTGTGATTACTCCACCGCCGATTATGGAGGGGCGAGGCGTGATTAAGAGGTTTGGAAGTAGGGTTCATGTGGTGCCAATGCATTCAGGTTTAATTTCATTCTCTAATTTCCTTTTTTGGGGCTCTTGTTATAATTTTAGTCTGTTGCAATATTTGGGCAGAACTAGGGGTCATCGTTAAGTTAGTGTTTGACATTTTCAGTAGTCTGGTTCTGGTCTTTAGTCTGCTGTGGAAGTAGTTAAATTGAAGCAGAGAAAGAATTATTGGGGTCAAACTGTCAAAGAGATAGAACAAATGAGAGAATTTTGTTAGCATTTTCAATTACAAGTTACAACACATAAATAAGCTGTCTTTCTGCTTCGTGTGACCAATTGAGGGGTGGACCAGATTCTTCCATTTCTTAAGCAAGAACTGAAGAGGTTTAAAGGCTGAAGCTACTGTGCATTTGGTTTGGGGGTTGTCGAATCATCCTTAGGAGTCACTTGGCTTGTAATAAACACATGTAATAGTAATATTGCAATCCCGGAGCATGTTCTAAACCCTTACTCCTTTAGAATGTGTTTATGGAGTTGGTTAGTTATGTAATTAATTATAAAAAATGCTTTCAGACCTAAAACAGTTTGAGCTCCATCCAACATTACTTTTCTGCTGCTCAAAAAGTGCAATGGATGTTGAAACTTTGAGTTTCTCTTATGCTTTCTCTCTTTACAATTTATATTCACACAGGTCATGTTTATGTTGTTATGTATTTATTGATACTGGTTTTGGTTTTGTGGGATTCTCCTGTTTGCAGACTGGTTTTCACCAGGTACAGTGCATCGACTCGAAAGGCAAGTAGTACCACATTTTTTCTCTGGAAAATTACCAGATCACACCCCGGAGAAGTATATGGAATGTAGAAACTACATTGTTGCCAAATACATGGGTAATCCAGATAAGAGGCTTACCATTCCTGATTGCCAAGGATTGGTAGATGGTATCAGTAATGATGATTTAACTCGAATTGTTCGGTTTCTTGATCACTGGGGAATTATCAATTACTGTGCTGCTTCACCAAGTGATGAGCCTTGGAATGGGGGGTCCTACTTAAGGGAGGAACCAAATGGTGAGGTTCAGGTGCTGTCGGCTGCTTTAAAGTCTATTGATAGCTTGATAAAATTTGACAAGCCCAAATGTAGACTCAAGGCGGCTGATGTTTATTCATCATTGTCCTGTCGTAGTGATGATTCTTCTGACTTGGACAACAGAATTCGAGAACGTTTATCTGAAAACTGTTGCAATCATTGTTCTCAGCCTCTTCCCTTTATGTCGTATCAGTCACAAAAGGAAGTAAGTTGCTTTTTATACCCTTTCTATAATCCTTACCTCTTTCATCATTAAGGCTAAATTTATCCAATCAATATCTTTTTTTACATGTATTCTATTTTTGCCTATAAGAATGAATGAAACTGCAAAAAAGCCCTTTGAATTTGGACCTTGTATTCTACTTTTTAATTCATGTAGAATATAAAAGAATTTATTCCAATCTGCAATTATTTTAGCTGCATTTATGCTTAACTTTGAAATCTTATTGTCATGTATAAAAGATGATGCCCCGTGGAGCCTTTATAAACTTTAATTTAATCTACATGTTAATTGTGCTATTTTATCTCTACTGTTGGCTAATTAACAGGTTGATGTACTATTATGCTTTGATTGCTTTCATGACGGGAGATTTGTTAGTGGTCACTCAAGTATTGATTTTATAAGAGTCGATTCAGCAGCAAGAGATTACGGTGAACTAGATGGAGAAAGTTGGAGTGATCAGGAAACTCTCCTATTGCTTGAGGCAATGGAAATTTACAATGAGAATTGGAATGAAATAGCAGAGTATGTTGGTACAAAGTCAAAAGCACAATGCATACTTCAATTTCTCCGTCTGCCCATGGAGGATGGGATATTAGAAAATATAGAAGTCCCAAGCATGTCTAGATCATCTAATCTTCCAAATGGGGATGATAATGGTAGACTGCACTCCAATTTGAATGGAAGTCTTCTAGGTATTCTTTCTTTTATTTTCTACTCTTAGGTTTCAAGATGGTTGAGATTTATATTTGTAACATTCTTTTTTCTGATTGTTCCTCCTGTGTTCCAGATCCTGATTGTGAAAACAGGCTCCCATTCGCTAATTCTGGCAATCAAGTGATGGCATTGGTAAGTAAAATGTTTTCTTGTGTTTCCTGAATTCTGCAATTGTTTTAATTTAGACATATGAGCACATCATTTTAGCATAACATCATATGATCATTTATTCATGTACCTACAAATGCTCACAAAAGTTAGTGCATTTAGAGACTTTGCTTATTATTTCTTTCCCTTTGGTAGCTAAAACCTTGGCCTAATCAAATTTCAGAAGTTATTGTTTTAACCTATTCTCTAAATATGGTTTGTTCAAGGATTAAGGTTAACTCTTAGGCTTCAAATCTTCAATGTAGCAAAGTAAGTGCTTATGCAGCAAGTACCATATTCAATCATTGTGCTCTGTGAACAAAACCACCATGAATAGCTCTTGTGATGGTTGCTAGGGTTTTGCTATTAGTTTTAATGCAAATTGGTCTGTGGGATCTGTTGTTTGGGTTTTTATGGATCTAACTGGTGGATTGTTGTTTAGGTTGCTTTTCTGGCCTCAGCTGTTGGGCCAAGAGTTGCTGCAGCCTGTGCCCATGCGTCCTTGGCAGCATTGTCTGAAAATGTCCATATGGAAGGATCAGGACATGGTAATAGGTTAGTCAATGCCCCTATTTTGTCCAACTCTCCTTACAATTGGGTTCTTTAATGCCAGTTTTATTGGCATGCCATGGTGTATGGGAAGATTTCATCATTTTGATTGAACAGATATTTTAGAGCATTCTCTTTGAGATGGTGTTGCTCTTAGTTTATAAATTTTTATTGGAATAATGATATTTATTTTCTATCTGTGAAGGACAAATTCAGAGAATGTACATGGTAGAGAAGGAGGTTTTCACGGTTCAAATCAGCAAAAAGGTAGTCTATAAGTTTATATTTCTGCTTTTCCCTATAGTAATTTGGCACATTTTTATTTGTTTGTGTAAATACTATAGATGGAAACCCAGCAGTATCTGGTTCTGGTGGTCAAAAAGAGGCTGAGGCTGCTCCATTATCTGTAGAAAAAGTTAAAGCCGCCGCAAAAGCTGGCCTTGCAGCTGCAGCTATGAAGGCAAAGCTGTTTGCTGATCATGAGGAACGAGAAATTCAAAGGCTTTCGGCTAATATAATAAATAATCAGGTCTCTCTCGTTGATGCATAGCATCACCAAGTATTTCTTTTCTGTACATATTCATTATGTTTGCATGTGAAAGACGAGGGAGAAGCTGTAAATTGGAAGAAAAAGGCTTGCTTGCATGCTTGAGATTGCAGTTCCTGTACCTATCATCTGTTCTGCTGTAAGACTAACTCATTCCTTGCATATGTGCCAGTTGAGGAGATTGGAGCTGAAGCTGAAGCAGTTTGCAGAGGTTGAAACATTGCTAATGAAAGAATGTGAACAGGTTGAGAAAACAAGACAAAGGTTTGCAGCAGAACGGGCCCGTATTATATCTGCTGGATTTAGATCCCCTGGAGTTGCTTCACAGATGAGTGTACCTGGTCTTGCTCCTGCAGTAGTCAACAATAACCTAGGTAACAGCAGGCAACAAGTAATTTCATCCCCGCCTTCACAACCAAGCATTTCTGGATATGGCAGCAATCAGCAGGTGCATCCACACATGCCATTTATGCCACGTCAAACAATGTTTCCAGTGGGACCAAGAGTACCCCTCGCAGCAATGCAGGCATCCACGTCAGCTCCTAATGTTATGATCAACAGCCCAGGGAATGCACAGCCTAACGTTAGTCATCCACTAATGAGGTCCGTATCTGGGACTAGCTCTTCTGGTCTAGGTTAAAATGATCAACTTTAATGTAAATTTGGAATTTAATTGTGGTTGGATTCCATTGGGGCTGTTGCCTAGTTTCCCCACCGGAAATGGAAGAAAGTGCAGTATACATGAAGGAGCCACAGAAATGTAACTTGCCTCGCATCTCGTAGTTCAGATACAAAGAGGCACTTTGTAGGTTTTGTAACATCATCATACAATTAATTTAGCATTCTGATGGGAATATGCATACCATCAATTAATTACAAAATTAGAATGTGTATTGATAACTTTCCTATTTTTCAACTATTTCTCTTCCACAGTTCCACTGAAATGTGAAAGTGCTATGGAGCCTGACCATGGGACCAGCGTTCTATTGTAATACATAATTCATTGCTGCCTTGACTTCACTGTTTCATACCTTTAGAGGCATTGATATGTATAACTATTATCGTTTATTCATAAAATCTAGATAACCATACACACAATATTATGGATCTCTGTTTACGTTGCCTGTAAAGGTTGATAATATGCAGTTTACAATTGCAAGAAAAATAACCTCTGCAAAGGGTGATGCAGTGTAATCAGCTGCAGCTATTCTGGCAAAGAAATCTGAGTCAAATTCTTTCTACGTGAGACACCAGGGTCGTTCATCTGGGCGATTCCGTTTTCCATTTCATCTAACCGTGTTGGTTCCACATATGTAACTACAGTGTCCTTTCGCAAGGTCAAATAGAAGATGGCAAGGATGTAGATTACCATGAGAGGGAAAACCAGGACTCCGATGAACACTTTACCAACAGTGGGTATATGGTTGTGAATCAACCAATCCACGAAGTCTGTGCTCAGGTAATACACATTGATGCCAACGATTCCCAAGCTCAGTATCCATGATATTACAATGACCTGCATTGATTCACAAATTCATTGAGTTGTAAACACTGGGACAACTTAATCAACCCCTCAAGTTTTGAGAAAAATTGAGGTTCAGACTTACAATTAGTGAATTCTTGTGTGGTCCCATCTTGTTGTTGCTGTAGCTAAATTTTAGAAGTGGGATGAGAGTAAAAGGGAGTTCAAAGGACAATATCATCTGCAAAATTCATTGTAATTAATCAATTAAACTTGGATCCATTAATTTCTACGCGAATATGTTTATTAGATCAAAAAAGCAATATTCAATTTATACAGTATTATAATTATTGATGAGATGCGAGTCTCTGATATTGAGGTGATTTCTTTTCTATCGATGGTTATAAAATGTGCAATCCACACAAAATGAATTATAAAATTGCTATCTCTTAATAGATTACCGAAGCAATGATGATCAATTTGCCTGCTGCTTGAGCACCACCAATGATGGCGGCTAAAAGACTTGGTACAATGGCAATGCCCCTTGTCAACAAGTTTCTCTTCCATCCCCTCATCCTAAGATCTAAGAATCCCTGAAAATAAACTCCCAAAAATTAACTTATTAACTCATAAATATGAAGATACATGGTATATAATGTACCTCTTGGAGAGATTACAAGGAAATAATTCTTTATAAATTCTTAACTTTTGTTGTGGATAAAATGTTTTCATCAAATTGATGTTACACCAAAAAAGGAAAAATGCATGGTGGTTTGTTTTATTTAATATGTCAAGACCTTACCTGCATTACAAATTGCCCTGCGTAGGTACCTGTGATTGACGAGCTTTGTCCTGAGGCAAGTAGGGCAACAGCATAGAGGATGGAGCTAGACTTTCCCAATACATTCTGCATTCATGAAATAAGGATTAATTTTTCTTTTAAAAATCAATGTTGAAGTTTGATATGTATATAGGTCAATTTTTTTGGACCTTAAGAAGGAAGGAAGCAGAATCCAGGGTAAGATTGTTGCACTTATCCTGGTCGTCTTGGGATAGATTTGAGGCAGAGCAGACAGTGCCAGGTACAGATACAATTGCCACGTTAATAAGAAACGCGAGAAACAACGCAAATCCAGTCTCTATAAAGAAATATCGACAAGCAGCCTGCGCACATAATGTACACCATGTTACAAAAACCAATCTCTCTCTCAAGATCCATCTTTGATCGTTTCAAATTGTTAGCTAGGTTATTGGCTCACAAACATTATTTTTGTTATTTTAATTAAATATCACTGAACTATAGCTTAAGAAAATGAAAGATGAAATTAAAATGTGAGGTTTAGAAGTATAATTTATGTTACTTAAGTTGGAGTTATAAGTATATAATTTCTGTTACTTACATTGATTTGCGGAATAGAGTTGGGTACTTTTCTAGAAAGTACAAGAGCAGAATGGAGATACAGATTGGGCCTGTGAAATACAACATTTCTTGTTAGTTATTAGTAGTATATATAATTTTCTCATTACATACAAGAAAGAAGAAATATTAGTAAATGTGTGACTAATTAAGATTAGGAAATGAAGATGGTACGGTGAAACAATGGCCCCCATTAGGGCAACGGCAGCGCCGGTGGCTCCTTGTCCACTTAGGTTTGGCACGAACATTCCCTTCAACACAGCACCAGCTGGGGGCTTTACATAACTCATTTCTCCAAAGAAACATCCACCCATTATAAACACCAGCACTGCTATCAAAGCTTCCAGCTTCCTCACCTATGGATGTACAGTAAATATATTTTCAGGAGCGATAATAACTCTAATTAATTAAACAACTAAGTACATGAAAATGACAAGATTAATAAAGTTAAATAATAATTTATTTGCGTATATAATAAAATTATACCCCATATCTTTGTAAACTAAGAAATAAAATGGTGCTGAGGCCTGTGCAGAGGACTCCAATCCAAACTTGGAGTTTGAATAAGATATTCAATGCAAAGGCTGTCCCAATTACTGTCACAAATCAACAAAAATAAATTAAATTCGAAAATCTTCTGATGTATAACAATTTATAAAGTGTATTGAAATATGTGATCATGTTTTACCGTGTAAACTGCATAAAATTAAAAAACATGAATTATTAGATGGACTCAACTTTTGATATCAGAAGTCAACCTCCATTTAATAAATAGTATTTATGTGATTTAATATAGTTTAAATTATATAATACTTTTTCTTTAAAAAATTTATCATTGTAAATCGGTAAAGGACCTTCAGGTATATCAGCAGCGATGACAACAAGCTCTGCTAACAACCACAAGCAATACCTCACGTATTTTGGATATTCAGCCTTGCATAACTCAGACAGATGTTTGCCTAAAAAATTCATGAAAAACGAAAATTTTAAACAGATCCATATAGATTAATTAACTGAGTGATCTGATCGACGTATAAATCATCAATTTTTGTAATCTTAATTAATTACCTGTGGTTACACCTAAATTAGCGGCTAGAGATTGGATTATGAGGACGAAGATCATTCCAATCAGAACCACCCACAATAACTGCAAAATTAACGATACCAAATTTTCATTAAGAAAAAAAATATTAAAAACTGATCAAATGTTCTTCAATTGTTATTATTTCTCCTCTTTTTGATGTTGTACCTCGTATCCATAGCTACCTCCCGCTTGCAAAGCAGTTTCCACTGTTATATGATTTGACTGTTAGAACTAATTAAAGACTTTCTAAAAATTTGAATTTATAAAAACTTGAAATTTCGAAATGAGAATTTTAGTCTGGTGATCATAAGAAAGTATACGGAATTAGATTTGGCCAAGAAAAGAAAATACAGGTAAGAGGGACTTACTGTTGCCCGGATCTAGATAAGCCATGGCGACAAGAAAACCAGGACCTACATGTAGTAAGAAGTTTCTCCATCCAGGTGGTTTCTATATATATTAGAAATAATATGGAAGAAAATCAGATGTCGGAAGCTGAATTAATACTCCTAATGATATCAAATTAATAAGAGAGAGACCTGATGATTTGGGTCATCTTGAAGAAGATCAAAGCGTTTGCTGCTGTTGTTGGACCTCGGTGGACTGAGTCCTTCTCCTTCCTCATTGAGAGCCATTATGCGGTTGCTACTTCCTCTGCTCCCTGATGTCGTCGCGGTGGCATTAGCCTCTTCGAGTTGCTCCTGCAGGCTGGCGCTGGCCATATCTCTCCCCTTAATCTTGTCTCGAAAAGCAAGCTTGTATGAAGTGAAATCTAATATCATAGATGGTAGATGCTAGACCTATTTATATAAATCAAAAAAAAAATAATTAATATATCTTTTGATTCGATGCATTTTACAATTCAAACCAATTCAATTATTAAAATTTGTTATATTTAATTTTTTTAATTTAAATTTAAAAATTATAATTTTTAATAAATATATTGTGAGATATATTGAATAAAAGAATGCATTAATTATTATTCATATTAAAAATATGAAGCACCCAATAATTTGACTATTTAACTATTATTTAAAAAGATATATAATTTTTTAATAAATATATTGTGAAATGTATTAATCGAAAGAATATATTAATTATTGTCTATATTAAAAATGTGAAATAACCAATGATTTGACTAATTAACTATTATTTAAAGGATTTATCTATTTTGTACCTTTAAAGCACATGGTAAAAAATAATAATAATACAATTATTATAGTTTTTTATCTTAAAAATAATAAAATTAACTTTTGTTTTAATCATAAATAGCAAGTGTTAATTTTCTATTCGTTTATTTTGAAATTAAAATCAGAATTTATTTTTTTAATTAAAATTTTACATCTTTTAAGAAAAAAATAATTATTAATTAATAATTATTTTTTATACTGTACTCTAAAATTACAGTATACAATCCCTTATGCAAAAAGATATATGATCTTACGATCGTCACTACAATTCGCTGCCTTCAGCATTAACTAACCTCGTATTCGTTTTCAAATTTCAGAGAGTCGTAAAGTGCATATTTTGTTTGGTTCTCCTGACCAAATTCTGGGACGTTCACGCTGTATATGTTCCCAGATACCCTATAATTTATGTTTTCTGCAATAAAATTAATCAATGTAATGGCGTACAGCTGTTTTCTATAGGTTAATGTTGTATAAGATAATGGTATCAGATTTGGTGATTATATAATCTAGAGGTTGTTGTTTTACCATCCGTTTTGTATAGATAATGGACTACAATTTCTCAACTTTATAATTAATAGGGTTAAATTGCTGGCTTCTTTTGCAGTCCGTGCGACTTTTTCGTTTTGAAATAATGTCACAGCTTTATTTTAGTACACAATAATGGCATATATTATATAGTATATATGTTAATCAACTTCCCAACTAATTAAGCGAGGCTAGCTTGTTTACCAAGACACTTCTCTTTTATTTTATTCCCCAGGGGATGAACGTGCACATGGACGTGGCACAGTGCTGTTCTTTTCCATAGGCCCCATGGAGAGCCGGGTCTTAGTGGACTGTGGGGTCTGTGGTAGATTTGCATTCTGCTAATTTCCATGTGGCAGCACTCAAAGTGGACGGTGAAGTCATGATATCACCGACCCAATGCGTCAGTGATTGTGAACGTAGGCAGATGAGCCTGGCACCTGGTTTGGCAATGCTTAATTTGCTGTGTTGTAGTAGTAGTTATTTATTTAAATTTTTTATTTTTTTATTATTTAAAAATATATAAAATATTAAGTAAAATTATTAAAAATGTAAAGAAATTAATTAAAATTTTATATTTTAAAATTAAATATTACATTAAAAAAAAAAATTCAGTCAAAAACTTCAATAAAGGAAGCCTAAGTGGATACGTTTTAATTTGAAGGGGAACAGCAAGTAGTTGGGGTGCATGGTGGCGGCGGTGTTGGTGTTGAAGCTTGACTTGAAGACTAGACTGGGTGAGCCTTTTCTTTATGCTGCTCGTCCGCTCAACTTTAGTGATGCTTTTTTTCTTTTCTTTTCTTAATAAAATAAGAATAAAAAAGTATTATAGAGTTTGCTTTACAATTATAATTATTAATGGAGATACTTTTCGTGGGTTTTTTTTTTCTCAAAATTAATGATAAATTTGTTGCAGTCCAACTTAAATTGGACTACAAAATAATATATTCTCTAATAAAAATTATAATATTTTATATTTATTCCCAATCACAATTAACAATACAGTACTTAAATAAGGGTGTTTATTATAATATATATTGTAATTATTAAAATAAAAATAAATGTATTAAAGTTGAAAAGCTAAAGTGTTTCACGAGAATTAGTTGTATTTTAATGAGAGGTAGGTTTATTGTCTCAAACTTTTCGGTATAATGCCACCAAGAAAAAGAAAAGTCGTTGGATTTGTTCATTGATCCACGCAGACACTGCAAAGTCAAAATTCTCTTGATATCAATTAATTGTCCTCACTTTTTTTAGTTTAAAAACCCTTAACCGTCCAGAAAATCTGTAACAAAGAGATAAAAGAAGCTGGGTTGGCAAAAAATGGGAAATGAAGCAGCAAGTTCTTTGAAACGAGAGAAAGGGCAGGGTTGCTGTATCGTATAAAATGTTAAGATCATTAATATTTTAAGTTTTTTAAAATAATTTTTGAAAATATAAGTTTGTTAATTAATTTTAACTTATTAATTAATAAGTATTAATTACAATTATTAATTATTTAAATTAAATTAATATTTTATAAATAATATTTTATATAATTTTAACATTATAAGCGATGATCTTAATTATATACCTCAAAGGCAAGAGAGTTAAAGAGAAAATTAAAATAACAGGCGAATAAGAGGCGAAAGAGTTAAAACGAACAAAATCTAACTGTACTTTTCTTTTTTTTTTTTTGGCATGAGCAGAAGAATTTGTAATTAAAAAAAATTTATTTACATATAAATTTTATATATTATATTTATATAAAATTTTAATTATTTATTTTTTTATTTATAATAGTTAAAATTTATTTTTTTAAATAAAAAATAATTATTTTTAATAAATATGAATAAATCTCAATTATTTAAAATAAAAAATAAAAAATTAAAATTTTATATAAATATAATATGTAAAATTTATATATAAATAAATCTTTATTCTTCATAATAATAATTGTACCCAAAATTTAAAAGTTAAATTTATTAATAAATAAATATTCTATTGTATAATAGATTAACTATTTAAGTCTTTAAATTAATACTTAAAAATTTAATTTTTTTTAAATATATTAATCAAATATTAAAAGTGCACTCTTAAGTTTCGCATGAAAATAACCTACCAATAAATACTTTAAAAAAGAATAAAAATCGTGCTCTTTATACAATAAAGTCTGATTCTGTTTGAGTAGCACAAGAGAGTTTGATTCTATAATCCCACTCGATGTGGATCTATGTCTACTGTCTAGGACTGTTTACTGTACGAGGCTATGATGTCGCATATATGGCACCACATCATTAATGTGCTTTTTTTTTTTTAAAAAAAAAAGAAGATTAATGTACTGTGTTTTAAAAGGTTGAAGGACAAAAACTCAACCTTCATTAATCTCATTGCATTGCATTGAAAAGTTGGAATTGTTGGCTAGCTTAAATACTAGTTAATTAGTTGGAAATTAAAAACAACTAAAACGCTTGGAGACGAGGGAAGGGTCAACAACAACAAAAGAAGCTTGGCACACATCGATAGCAGAATATAATTAAAGAAGATGAAAGAGCCGTAAGGAGCAAACTTCTCACTCTCAAAAGAGAGTTTTGAGATGCTGAAAATGAGAGAAGGTGAAAACATCAGTACTTCTCCAAGCTCATGAAACTTGCAAGTCAGATGAGGCTTCTTGGACATTATGTTAAATTGGTTCACCCCTCAATGCCTGAAGGCTTGAGGGTACTAAGTTGGGAGTTTTATTACTCAAACCTAAAACTTATAGAAAAATTCTCCCTCCTCAAGTATTTCACATGTTTAATTTATAAAAAAGGGATAACCCATGTACAAAAAGCTAATAAAAGAAAAAAAACCCATGTACAAGAAAAGAATTACATATTTTATAATGACAATATAAGGATATTTTGTTTTACGATTTATATTGTATTAAATTATAAAATAAAATTATTAAATTTGAGAAGGACATCAAATATCAAAAAATTCTACTCTCATCTAGGAGTTAATATAGTGTAATTAATTACAATTTTAAACAATATTATATCTTTTCAAACCCAACTCAAAAGTAATTCACTTTCCAATAAACTTCATCACATTATCCCACTGCATCTAATCCACCATCCAGCTGCACACAGTTTGGGCTGGACACATTGTTTAATTCCAATATCGGGAGAGTTTGGTGAGGCAATTTTTGGAGTTGCTATTAAGAAACTTTTTTTGGTCTCTTACCTTTTGAAAATGTTTGGGGTCCTTGTCCCCAAAAAACTATATTTTAGAAGAAAAGATATACTAGTTTTTAACCAAACAAATAAAGTACTATTAAATAAGCTTTAAAGAAAAATCGTAGGCCATTGCTCTTTACGAATAAAGCTTTCTTTTACTAAAATCCTCATTTCTCTTCAAAACTAATTCAAACTTTGACACAAAAAAAAGCTTTTCAGCAAACCCAGTAAAAGTTCTACCAAAAAGCCCCGATATAAGTTCCACTCCAAAAACTGAAGATTGAGTTTTCCCAAAGGACCTTAATTGGTGGACATCCGGATTCAACACTTGGGTGTGCACCCTCACATAAAAAAAAAAATTTGAACCGGGTGGCGATGGACTTTTTTTTTTCAATAAAGAGTGTGACAAATCATTTTCCTTTCCCAAATCATTTTTTTTTTCTTCTTTTACGTCATCCAAGCTTTTTCCACATCTATATGTAATCCATTGAAAATATGTCGAAATAACCATATATACCAAATAATGTACTTTCACAGACCAGCCTCTTTTTAAAACAACCATCATTTCTAGCAATACAAAGGTCATGTTTTGGTTGGTGGTAGAGCAGTACGTAGCCATGAATTAAGGAGCCAAAAAAATGTAACTATACGAGGCAATTTGTACGTTAATTTGTAACGTCATACAATTAAGTTGGCATTTTGATGAGAATAAAAAAATAATTGATATATATTTTAGTTTAATACATCCCATGATAGTTCAGTAATTAAATTTTATAATTTTTAATGTTTTTTACTTTTGATTCAAATTTAAAAATAGTAATTTCTCAATAAATGTATTGTAAGGTATGCCAAATTAAATATTATCCCAATAATCATTTTTGAGAATAATAAACATGCATAACTCCAATTAATTACAAAATTAAAATGTGTATTGATAACTTTCCTATTTTTCAATTACAAAATTGGATGTATTGTATTATTTTTTATTTTGGGTACATATTAGAGGCATTGTATTGATCTGGGTAAGAGTAACTATCTTTAAAACATCAAAACTAGAGGTATTGTATTTTTATTTGGTACAGATTAGAGGTATATATCGTAGTGATCTGTGCAACTGTAACTATATATCTTTAAATCATCAAAACTAGATAAACTCACACATAGCTGGGTCTCTATTTACATTATTTCCTTCTCCATATATAACAGCTTTTATCTATTTTAGAGATGCAAGGAAAATACCTCTTGCAAAGCAGCAAAGGGTTGTGTAGTATAGCGAGCGAGAGCCTGCAGCTATTCTGGCAGTGGAATCTGAGCCAAATCCTCTCTGTATGGGATAGTATCATGGTCTATTTGGTCGGTTCCACTCTCCATTTGATCTGGCTTTGTAGGTTCCATATGTGTAACTACGGTGTCCTTTCGAAAGGTCAAATAGATGACACTAAGGATGTAGATTGCCATGAGAGGGAAAACAAGGACTCCTATGAACACCTTTCCAACCATGTGTAAATGGTTGTGAATCAACCAACGGACAAAGCCTGTGCTCAGATAATACACATTGATGCCAATGATTCCGAAGCTTAGTATCCATGATATTGCAATGATCTGCATTGATTCACAAATTCACTGAGTTTGACACTAGGACAACTTAAATCAACCTCAAATTTTGAGAAAAATTGAGGTTTAGATGACTCACAATTAGTGAATTCTTGTGTGGCCCCATCTTGTTGTCACTGTAGCTAAATTTTAGAAGTGGGATAAGAATAAAAGGGAGTGCAAAGGCCAATATCATCTGCATAATTCATATTGTTATTAATCATTTAATCATGGATTGATTGTAATTTCTAAGCATATATAAATGTTTTATAATAAATTACCGAAGCAATGATGATCAATTCGCCTGCTGCTTGAGCTCCACCAATGGTGGCGGCTAAAATACTTGGTACAATGGCAATGCTCCTTGTCAACAGGTTTCTCTTCCACCCCTTCATCTTAAGATTTAGGAACCCCTGAAAATAAACTCCCAAAAATTAATTACCACAAATGAAAATGCGTGATAGTGGAGAGATCATGAAGAAATAATTCTTTGTAATTTCGTTTAATTTTTCTGTCATGGGATAACATGCTTTGAGGGTTTGTTTTATTTAATTTGTTCAGGACGTTACCTGCATTGCGAATTGCCCCGCATAGGTTCCTGTGATTGAGGAGCTTTGTCCTGAGGCAAGAAGGGCAATGGCATAGATGATGGAGCTAGACTTTCCCAATACATTCTGCATTCATGAAAATGATCAGGAATTAATAAATTTCTTAATTTTGCTTCTTAAAATTAAAGTTAGATATGTTTACGTGTGTGTGTATATATGTATATATGTTATGTTATTGTTTATGAACCTTTAGGAGGAAGGAAGCAGAATCAAGGGTAAGATTGTTGCATTTATCCTGGTCGTCTTGGGACAGGCTTGGATCAGAGCAAATAGTGCCAGATACAGATACCATTGCCACGTTGATAAGAAATGCAACAAACAACGCAACTCCAGTCTCTATAAGAAAATATCGGCATGCAGCCTGCACACACAACATCATTACGTTACAAAACCAATTTCTTTTTTTCCTAATTAAATCTGTCTTTGTCCTTCTCAAATTGTTATTTGCAGGTTATTAATGGCTCACAAACAACATTGTTTTGCTATTTTAATCATACACTATTAAATTATATATTAAGAAAATGAAAGACGCACAAAGTGAGGTTTAGAAGTATAATTTGCATTAAGTTAAATGTCAATTTTCGTTTTTAAATTTTTAATTTTGAATATTTTTTGTTTCTAAACTACTTTTTGCACTTTTTTATCCTTAAACTATAGGAAATGTATTTTTTTAGTTTTATGTTAGTTAGTTTATTAAGTATATCAAATTAGAAACATTTTTAATCTTTCAACTTAAAAAGTATGTTTATTTTTAGTCTCTAAACTTATAAGTTCAGATTAAATGTGTGCATTTATTGACATATTTATTAGATTAATTGATAGGAAAATTAAAAAAATACATTTTTTTATAGTTTAGAAAAAAAAACAAAAAATAGTATAAAAACTAAAAATATTCAAAATTAAAAATTTAGAGACTAAAATTAGAATTTAACCTCCTTATTACTTACATTGACACCTCGAATAGAATTGGGTGTTTTTCTGGAAAGTACAAGAGCAGAATGAAGAAACAGGTTGACCCTGTAACACAACATTTTCATGTTAGTTATTATAGTATTTTTCATTATTTAGAGAAAAATAAATAAATAAATAAATAAAACTAAAATTATGAAATGAAGATGGTACGGCGAAACAATGGCACCCATGAGCGCAATGGCAGCGCCCGTAGCTCCTTGGCCGCTGAGCTTTGGCACGAACATTCCCTTCAACAGAGCATCTGTTGGGGGCTTCGCATAACTCATTTCTCCAAAGAAACATCCACCCATTATAAATATGAGCATTGCTATGAAAGCTTCCAGCTTCCTTACCTTCAACAAATTAAGTGGCAAAATATAAGGCTAACCTCCATCTTCTACGTTGAAACTAATTCTTTCTCTAGCCATTTTAAGGGCTCATTTTTTACATTAACTTGATGTGTATATAAAAAAAAAAATTCTTTTAACACTAATTCTAAAATTTAATTGAGTTTTTTGTTTTTTAGTTTTTATTTTGATTGCATAATATGAGGTAACTTTTTTTCATCTCTTCTCTCATCCTATTTATATGTCATGTGATTCAAACTCAAAATCTCTTAGTTTTAGTAAAAGAAAATTACCATTAAATTATTTAGATCGTTAGTAAAATTTAATTGAGTTAATATTTACTAATTTAGAAACTTTAATTTAATATTAAGTTAGAGATTAGAACTCATGCAATGTTAATTACTCCATTTGTTCTAAAATAATTATTATTATTATACTTTGAATTTGTTTCAAATTAACTCATTTTTTCATTTCTTAATGTAGAAAAATATTTTTTCTACTTTAACCCTACTATTATCTATTTACTTAATTAATCATCCAATTATAATATTTTGTCTTTTATTTATTTTTCAAGGATATTATAGATTAATACAAATCTTGTTCATAAATTCTCAAATTAAAAAAATTTTAAAAATAAAAATTATTTTAAAAGTGAGAGTAGCTAATTTCTAATGTACTCCCTCTGTTCATTTTTTAATGAACTTAATTTAATTTTTTTTACTATTTAAATATAAATTTCAGATAAAATTTAACAATTTATATAAATA